GGTAGTGGTAGTCGTAGAAGAAGAAGAAGTAGTAGTGTACTAGCAGCCGCAGCAGCAGTAGCGGCAGTAGTAGTCAGCCACAGTCGCAGTAGCTTTGGCAGCAGCAATAGCAGTTGGAGTAGGAGTAGGAGCAGGAGCAGGAGTAGCGGTGGTATTGTTTAAGATACAGCAGCAGGAAGAGTCGTCGTCGTTTTGGACCGTCATGGCGAAAATTTGCGTGCAGGAGATGACGATGGCCATGACGATGGTATGGATTTCTGCTTGATGGTGGTGTCGGTGGTCGCAGCGATGATGATGATGCCCGTGAAGCAGGTGATGACGAGGAGGGTGATGTTGATGATGGTCATGGTCATAGAGAGACAACCAGGTTGGTTCCAACGATGATGATGGTGGTGACGGTGATAGGGACGAGATGGGGTCGGGGCTGGGGATGTGGATGGGGATGCTGATGCTGGTGCAGCTCAAGCCGGATGCCAGGACCCTTATCACCCGTCCAACACGCCGATCTACCAGACTGCGACTTTCGTTCAGCCCTCGTCCAGCGAGTTTGGACCCTACGACTATACTCGCCCGGACCCCAGAGTGAATCTGTAGCTTTCACGGATCTTGTCAACACTGACACAACTGCCATCACTGGTTTCTCCATTGGCGTTGGTAGTTTTACCTCCATGTCACAAAGCACAAAGCTTGAAACTCTTGAGCGCCGAAGCCTCATAAGGCCGCTAAGCCCAGGCCGTGCAGAATCTTGAAGTCGAACAAGTGAAGTTGCTCAAGCCATGGGTTTTAACTTGACGGATGTGTTCAGGATCCGGAAACCCCACGAGGACCGCCCTTGAGAAACACGTCGCTATGTGGGTGCCCAAGATTCCGGTCAACAGCACCTCAGTACAGGAGGACAAGGGGCCTGATGCTCCGCGGTTTTACGTCTTCTGGGCTGTTGAAGATACACGGTACACCTGCGATGACAGGAGCATGGCTGGTGCTGAGAAGATCAACAGTAATGAAAGCAAGATCACCGTCGCAGTCCGTAGTCATGGTCTTTTGTAACTGCTCCAAGCACTCCAGCGTTTCGAATCCGGCAAGGCTGGAGCATGCGGCTGCTGCCTTTGCTTTTTCCTCCGGCATGGTGCGCCCTCTGGTCTGCAGGGTTTTGTTTGTGAGTTTGCTGAATGGCTTTCACAATTAGCAGCCACTGCGGAGGCTTGGGCTCAAAGGCTTGTCCGCCGCAAAAGATGAGGAACCTCAAAGAACATGGGTCGACCACTCTGTTGTTGGTCGTCCGGCTTTTCGACGGGTCTCAAGGTCGTTGCACCAGACACCCAAGCGCAAATCGCATGTTGGCACATGCCTCTGGCTGCTGCTGCTGCTGACCTGGCTACGAATGCAATATAGCAGAGCCCGACTGGCGCAGCACTGAACTGACACTCTTTCGTAATCTTTCGGGGCGTGCCGGCTGAGTGTGGATGTGTTAGCAGTCCGAGTCGAGCAACACTAAGCCTTTGAAGCCTGAACAAACAGCCCGGCAGCAGCCATGTCGTTTTGGTCAAACCGGGCTCTAGGTCTCTCTCAGGTTCTTCACACGTCCCGCCGTGAGAAGTCCCCCACGACGGCTCAGAAGCCAGAGCTTCAGCCACGAGGCTGCGCTCCACACGGTGACACGCCTGCTGAAGCAGGCGCCATTTCGGGGGGTTTCGGGCTAAGGTTGCTTCGAATTCAGTCTGTCCTGCATCGAGCAGAGCTCCTCACCTTTGCAACTCGACTCCTGAAGGAGGAAGTGCTTTGGCCACTTGGCATCCTCTTGTACCCGGCAAATTCTGCACCAAAACAGATTGCAGGGTGACGACATCCTCGTAAACGAGGACATCTACGGAGGAATGCACCGGCTTCTGACGCAGGAGACCGGAGCAGCAGGTAACAGCAATGAATGCGCAGTTGTCAACATGGAGTGCAACATCTTCAGTAACATCATCTATACTGTCTTGCAGAGCGTTCCTGTAGCCACCAGCTCCGGCTGTGTAGGACTGCAAGCACAGCGGCATTCAGGCGCGGCAGAGGGCGTGCGCGGGCGCCTCTAACGGCGAGCGCAGTTGACAGCGCCACAGAGAAACTCACATCGAACCATACATTCGGGCCGTTATGCGAGGATTCTTCTCGACATCATGTCCTCGCAAATGAAGACGAAAGCCTCAAGCGGAGTTGACCTCGCATCTCGGGGTTTGGCCAATATCCATGAGGCAGTCCAGTGCACATGCTAGGTGCGATTTGTGGACACGACGAACTTGGATGCAGACCTGAGCTTAATGCTCTGCTTTCTGATATTGTCAATGAGATGCCGAAGTGCGTGAATAACGCAAACTGACAAAGTGCACATCTGGAGTCCCACTGTCCAGCTGTTGAAGCCTTCCTCCGGTCCAAGAGACGGGCACAAATGCAATCTCAAGGTGGCAAAAGCGATTTTGCCGACCACTCGCATCATCCATACGGCCGTGGGCTCGGAGTGGAATGGTGGCTGATAGCCCAAGAAGGGACCATCGGGCACCTGAGAGGCACAGGCGAGAGAACAGACTTACGAGGCTGCTTTGCGCTGAGGAGAGTCCTTCCAACCCTCGCATGCGCATCACCGACCTGAGAGCACTGGCGAAATTAGCGCCCGGAAGCCCAGCGAAGCGCAGCAAAGAATCGGAAGATCCGGAGTATCGAAAGCCCGGGCATCAGGTTTCTGCCGGCATGGTGTATAGACCTCTTGTATGCAGATTCCTTTGCTGGGATTTCATTGAAGCTCGCTACTTGCAGGGCAAGTTGTGGCAGACTTTGCAACCGCTGGTGTTTAGTTGGCGGTTGCCTCGCCACATCTAGCCCGAGAGGGGAATCGGGGCCGCTGGCAGATGTGGCATGTGTTTGTGGGCATGTATGTATGTACGGACGGACGGACGGACGGGTGTATGTAAGTCTGTCTGTCTGTCTGTCTGTCTGTCTGTCTGTATCCATGTATCCATGTATCTATGTACCTATGTATCTATGTACATATACATCTACCCATATGCATGTCTGTAGACAGTGCGCATCCCATCGCATCCACCCGGTTGCGGCAACAGCTCGAACAGGGCAAATGGCTTTCTCGGAAGTCAAACGCCCACCTAATAAACCCCAGACTCTTTGGCTGCTGAACCTCTGCCTAGGCACCAAAAAGGTGTTCTGCTCAGTGTGGACAGTACGATGATGCCGTGCCTTGGCTGATGGAATCTGACTGTTGGTCCTGACGGTTCCGAAACGCTTGTGCTAAAGTGCTGCCAACGCAGAAAGATGGGGACGAGGCCCGTGATCTGCCAGCCGTTGTTGCTGGGAGTCGACATCGTGGTGCACGCCTGAGCTGCTCCGCAAATCTACAGCGGAGCGCCCGACATGGCTTTGAGAGAGAGGGGCAAGGATTCAGTGTTCTCCGTTCGGAATCCAGAAAGTTGCGACAGGCAGTGCTCCTTACGACAATCCTCAGGTCCACTCTGCCACGAAGTTCTTCTCGGGCCATGCAGATTGTACAGGGGGGCTGGTCTGCGTGCGGGACCCGGAGGCGGGCAAAGCTCTAAATCCTCTCCTTGCCCGTCTCTTTGCTCTCTCTGCTCTCTCTCGCTCTCCCGCGCGGTCTCTCGCTCCTCTCCCTGTTACTCCCTCTCTCTCTCGCTCAAGCTCTCTCTGTCTGTCCCTCTTTCCTCGCTCCTCTCCCTGTTACTCCCTCTGTCCCTCTCCCTCTCCTCTCTCTCCCTCCCTCGCGCCCCCTCTCCCGCTCTCCCGCTCTCCCTCTGTCTGATCCCCGCAAGCAGCACCACCAGCAGGACCTTCGCAAAGACTGCACCACAAGGATAGAACAAGCTGGGTGTACCATGAACATATAATATCTGCCTACTTACAGATCTAAACGATCAGATCCACCGCTGGTCGAAGAGAATCCGGGCCTCCATTGCCTTCTGACCCTGGCAGCTCGCCCACCGCGTGGCCTTCCTCCAGAACGCGGAGGGCACGGCCCTGGCGCCTTTCGAGCGCCCCGGCCGAAAAACACCCCCTGCCCTTCCCCTTTTTAGAAATGCTATTACAGGTGGCAGGGGAGTTCGGAGAGTGAGAGCAGCTTTCGTGGCAATGGAAGAGGAAGCTGTGGCAAAAAAGCAGCAGTAGTGCTGCTGGTGATCGTCGTGCTGGCACTTCAAGCACCGATGTTGTAACACAAATCCCGATTTCCGTTTCAGCAGCCGCCGCGATAACGGCTCATAACAGCGGCATCGAGAATCATCGTAGTCATAACGACACATAGCGGCACAGTACATTCTGTGGGATACTCATCTGGCAAAGGTTTCGGATCTGGGCTTCAGGTCTGAGCGACCTTTCTGGTATCTTGCAGCAGACAGGCTCAAGGGATCGGGGCTCCGGGCTGAGGCTCCGGGTTAGGGCCCAGGTTTGGGGTTGTAACAATTGCGGAGCCCTTCCCATCCACCGGTAGACTCTATGTGGCTCTAAAGCGGCTCATCGAGCAGCTGCGTGGGACATGTGGGATGTTGCAAACGGGCGTTACCGCTAGCGGGTAGAACCCGAAACCTGGCCCCAGATTTAGAACAAGCCTCGTAGTTCCGTTCCTTTGCAAAGGTGCTTCTTGTTCCTCCGGGGCATCAAGACCATGTGGCTCAGGGTGAGTCGGGCACAGGCTGCCTTCTCGTGATTGTCGTGGGTTCGTGTCGAGATGTGCAGGGCAGGAGAACTCGTTGAGTATTTTGTTGGATCAGTGCTGCCGTTGTGAGGTGGAAGCCGTGTCGGATTCGGATGTGCTGCTAGCGTATAATCGTCTATCTTCCACGCCCTTCGATTTAGCCCTGGCAAGCCTCGAGAGACGGGCCATGGCCTGCTAGGGTCTTCCCTTCCTGACTTCTTGGTGCCAGGAGAACGCCCAGGAAATCGCCAAATTCCTCTCCAGGCCAGCCGCACGGGAGTTACACAAACCCGCTCATGCTCCAGATGCTTTTTCGATTTGGCAGAAGCAAGTCGAAGTACACATGCCACCTGCTGTTGAATCATTGAAGTGCTGCGAGCTCTACCTGGTGTTTTCCACAAGACCGTCTGAAAATCCCCTGAAGTGCCTCTGGGCCCGGAACAGCCGCAGGCATTCCAAAGTCACTGGCGTCTTCTTCCCGGGACCTGGTGGCTGCGACAACCGGGCACTGAGGCGGACCAGAATCTCGCGGTTGGGGAGGTGGCTTCGTTGATGGCTCAAGATGGTTTCAGGGAAGGTGTGAAGATCTGAGGTTCTGAGCCCTCCAAGAGACATGCTTTTCTATGTTTGGGCCTGTTTGGAATCCTGGGAACCCTGCATGATGAAGGATACACCAGTCGCAGAGCAGCGGGCCTGGATGCGTCATCAGCTTCACAACAGGCTGGTGTCATGACTGTGGGGGCCACTTGCGTATGAGGGCTGCTTGCTTATCACTATGTACCACAAAACTCTAGGCCCTGTAAGTGCTTGACTTAGTCGGGCTCTTGCAAGCCGTGGGGCTCCCGAGCCAGGCTCGGTGGGCTTCTCACGCCGGCTGTTGGATGCCAGCCGGCTTTTTAAGACCACCGTGTCCTTCGGCCCCTTTGTCGCAAGCAGGGTCGGATTGGGTCCCGTGGACCTGGGATGCCTAGGCCTTTTTGGAGGCAAAGTCTCGCGTACGGCTCGAAAGAGCGCAGCAAACCTTGTAATGCCGAGTTACCAGTGACCCTGTCACAACTCTGAAAGGCCGTATCTGACCAGGCTGTGGACCAGCTTTAATAAAGTCCACCGCATGCCTTCTCTTGTGGCTCTGCGGAACTTCGATGTTTCGCTCAGGCAGCGTCAACAGCTCGGCACTGAGATGGGGCCAGGGCATGGATGGAATTTGGATGAATTTGGATCTACTCGACAATGGGTTCGAGCGCATTGCGAGATGCGATGTCGCAGTGGTCGTGAGAAGCCCTCAAGACAAGAGCCTTTGCAAACAGCTGCAACCAGCTCCGTCCAGGTTTGGGGGAGATGCCCTGCACCATGAGTCACGCATCGATTCCCGCGGAGCAGCAAACGTTGCCGCAGGCCTCATGCAAGGGGCCTCCCTCTGACCCTGGGCACATCGTCGAGCAGGGAGCGTTAGGCATGGCCTTGGTCCAACCAGGACCTGGTTCGTCTCTCTGTGGGCATCGAGGACGTGTCCGGATCCCATGAGAGCAGGGCTGCTAGCGCATCTCCAGTTACTTGGGCTCTCACTGCATCCTGGCAATAGTCCCAAAACGACAATGCGGATGCAGGTTTGTGTCTATGTCGGCCGGGGGTATGGGTGCTTTGTTTGCGTGCCAAGCACTGCAGCTTTTGGGTGTCGTTCCAGGCGCGACCTGTTGCTGGACTTGCAGCGAGCACTCGAGACGGCCAGTGGCCAGCGCGAGCAGCCGAGCAACGACCAGTGCCCCGTGCGAAAAGCTGTGGCTCGCCGTGGCAGTCTCCCGGGAATCACCGGAAGTGACAAAACACATTAAACTACGCGTCACATAGCTAAACCGGCTAAACCTAGCCGCTGACGAGGAAGGGAATAAGAAAGAAGACCAGAAGAAAGCGAGAGAAGAAAGAAGATGAAAGGAGGAAGCAGGGAAGGAAGGAAGGAAGAGTAGACACAGGAACGACGGAAGGAAGGAAGGAAGGAAGGAAGGAAGGAAGGAAGGAAGGAAGGAAGGACTTCTGATTTGCAGCACATGCACCGTGTCCTGTAGCACCCATGCCTCCGTGCCGAAGGAGACTGCCGTCACTGAGCGCGGTTTGTGGCACACAAAGACATTCTGAAGTTGTACCACGCTTATGTCTCCAGCAGCTGCCATGGAAGACTGCCAAGTAGCCTTTGCATTCCAGCCGCACATCCCCAGACCCTGTTGAGACTCATGGACGCCTGTGAATGACGAGTTTGTTGATCTGATGTTTAATTGTTGATATCTGTGGCTTAGTTTTTGTGCCTTATTCAGTTTTTTGTGCCTCTCAACCGCTGATGAAGGATTGCATCAAGTGGTGGTGCTTGCTTCAGACCCTGAAATGCACCCTTCCACCATGACGAGATCATGAAGGGGCTCAGCCAGAAAGCTCGAAGCCTTTGAGCCCAGATTTGCGCAGGTACGACAGCCGATTTGATGACCTCCCCGTGGTTCCCAGGTGCACCCCTTCTCTGGAAACTTGAGGGAGACTCCAGGTTGCTCGGTTGAAAAGTGCAAGCCTTGGTTCAACAGTTTACAGCGATGCAATGGTCATGGTGACAATGGTGCTGACCCTGTTTTGCCCTTGTTTTGGGCCACCGACACAAAGCAGCGAGCTTCGGAAAGGCTTCCGGGGGGCACCGCGGAGGAAACGGATGGGCCCGGGCCTCGGGCGTCCGGCCGAGGTAGAAGAAACGAATCGTCTTAGGGTTTAGGGCTTAGGGATGGTGTGATGGTTATGAAGCAGGATGAGTAGCATGATGGTGGTCGTGGTGATCGATGTTGGCAGAAGTGTCTCTGCGAATGTGAGTAGTAGCAGTTTGCAAGGGTCGGTGTGTACTTGGACATGGTTGTTCATACACATGTTTAGAAGTCCTGGCATTGATACCGACAGCCATGCCAATATCAGAAAACAGCCGGAAAATGCTGCACTGTATATAGTGATGTGACAAGTTTCGGAGAGCAGTATTTGTAGTGATATGGCAGGCAGCGCAATATGTTCAAGATGTGTGTCGGCACTACCAGTGCGAGTATTGTCATTGGGGTTAGCAGTCAGCCTTCCCCAAGACTTCGAAGATTTTTACCCCATTGAAAGCGAACCACTGACATGCCGCAGCCTCCTCGCACTCGCAGCACAGAAACCTAGCCTTCCGACCTGCCCCTGTCGTCAAGCGCAGGCACGACGATGCCTCGGGCCTGCAACGCGGCGACTCCCTCGTAGGCGGGGCGTGTGCTTCGGAGACCTGCCAGGACCCTGCAAGCTCTGAGCGCTGCTTTGCTTTTTTGCCTGTGAAGTGACATGTTGTGGATCCTGCACTGCACCCAATATTTCAAGTTGCCATTTGACCGTCTGCTCTGCTACCAAATCTCGTCAAAACTACATGGCTCGGACGTGCATCCAGCCAAGCCCGGCAGGAACATCGCAAGAGGCCTCATATGCCTGATGAAGTCCCCAAAGGCTTTGAGCATAGCTCTGTGAAGCCCAAGGCCCAAGGCTAGGGGTTTTAGGGTTTCGCATTTGGGGTTTAGGCCCTCTTTCGGTCCTTGCCGTGCCCGCGACCTTGCCCATTGGCAGGTTTCCTTGCAGCACAGGCCCAGCAAAAACGTCCCGGGCTCGCACTGCTGGGGGTCGCCGCGGCGCGGTGCTCAGACTTGTGCACCGAACAGGTCCAAGAAGGGGGCGGGTTAGTAAGAAACTCGCCGCATGTTTGTTGTAGGGATTCCGTCGGCCTCCTTGCTCGAAGTGATTCGGCCCACAGCCCATCGTGCGAGTTGAGACCCTCTGTATCGGGGTTTCGTCATGAGGTCAAAGAGACCAGAAACTCTTCCGGAACGATCCCCAGAACTAGCACCAGCCTCTAAACACCACAATCCCAAGGAAGCCGTGGCTTTCGTTTGGACTGTGGTTCAAGATGAAAGATGTGGAGAGAGCGTCTTGTACAATGAGCGCCCCGTTCCAAGAAACCCAGCCGAAGTCACCCTTTATGGGAGCTCCCAGGTTTCTGCTCTTACTCTAGGGGCTTTGGCCGCCGCCCGGAGCCAAGCTGCCAAAAAATGGAACTACGAGTCGGTTGCGTGCTTCATTCATCCGGAAGTCCAGTCTCTTCCTAAGGCCAGGGCCCCCAGGAGCTGCAACATGATGATGCCGACAATGTAAAGGGTTGGGGCAAGGGAGTTAGAGGTCTTTGCCTCCATACGCTCTCAACGTGAGTCTCTCGAATTTAGCACGATCGGGAAGTTAACACTTCTACTTCTACGCCTTGGGCCAAGGCACGACTCCGGCGACGGTGAGCGCATCTGCGTTTCGGGCTGCGGGTTTAGTCGTAGAAGGCTTTCTCATTCTTAAGCGAGCTCTCCAGGTTTACATGGAACACGTAAACCCCAAAGGCTAGAATAACTCGCTGCACTTCCGTCGTTTTGGGAAGTTTCTCCGCCTGGGCCAAGACCTTCCAAGCCCATGGCCCAGGCCTTGGCTCAGATGAACAAGCGGGTAGTTCTCTAAAGCAGGGTCCCTTTTGGAGTCCTTTTCATAAGGGTGCCGTATTATATTGGGGACCTACAAAGAGACCCTAATTTAGACAACTACCCAAGTGGAAGTGTACATACCGGTGTGGGGATGCCCCTGCCAAAATGCAGCAGTGCTTCGACCAAGCTGAGAGCGTAAGTTCAAGACTGGAAAAATTTACGCCTTTCATCAGGCCGGTAAGGCTTAGTGCTTAAGGGCCTTGGAGGTACGAGACATCCCATGCACTTGCCATGCCTGCAGAAGGTAGCAAGGAACTCTCCCGACGGGCATAGTCCCCAGATGCGGAGTTGAGATGAGAGCATTGCTGCCAAGTGGGCCTCGGAGCTGTGCCGTTTTTTGTCTCGGCACTGTCTGGCCCAGGTTGGACTTTGTAGGGAACCCCCCCCCCCTCTTCAGGCGCGAGGGTTCTGTGATCCTTTGTATGGCTGGTTGGCCCAAGCAGAAGTTTCCGAGAACAAACGCTACGACGAGTTGTAAGCGCAGTCCTAAGGACGGGTCCCAGGCGAGGGGCCCGAGAGGGCAAGAGCACCATGCCTTGGTGGGAAGAGGCATCTTTGGGATTCCTCTCGAGACGTGGCCTTGATCCCTTGTTTACGGCCGCATGCTGGGGGTCGGATGGCAGTGAGATGGCTCACCCCTTTAAGAGGACCGGCTGTTCTTTCCGAGCTTTGGACCTGATGCCCAGCCATGCGGCTTGCTTTGACACCGGCAGGCTACCGAAAAGTAAGCCTAGCGGGAAAAAGAGAGCTTGCATCCATCGGCAATGAGGCCATCACTGCCTTTCGCGAGAGGTTGCAAGTTGAATGGTGTACAGAAGATTTGGAGTCTCGACGTCTGCTCTCACCAAGCCCACTGCAAGCTTCCTGCAGTGTCACAACCCCCGGGGAGTGATCTGCGATCTGCCTCCGCAACCCTTAGCCTTTGACAGCGCAGCTCGACACACCGCGCTCTCTCCCGAAGTATGACTACTTCGCATCTGCCCAGCGCAGGTGTGCAGGCTTCATCGCCGGTTTCGGCTTCGATGTCACGGTGATGGTGCCGAACTAAGGATGCATGCCAAGGGCCGTGTTAACAAGAAAGCAGAGTTTGGGAAGGTTTCTGAGCCCCAGAGCCATATTTACTACCTCAAAAGGACGCATGCGTTGGGTTCTCATGTTAACGTATATCCCTTGCGATCCGATGCAGCTCCATAGTCAGAGAACTTCGCTCATGCAAGATCATAGGCAATACCACGAGCTGCTTAGCCCAAGCCCGGAAGTATCTAAATCGGGCTTGTGCTGGCCAGGTCCGCTCTATTCTGCTGCGGGGCTTTGACCAGGTCCGGCCAAGCGCACGACATTGGGATTGTAAGGTTGGGGGTTTAGGGAATTGGTGTTTAAGCATTTGAGCAGTTTGAGCTTTCGAGGTGCCCCGATGTCTCGCCTGCCATCACGAACTCTTGCAGCTAACATCGGCGCATCAATGCATCCTGCTATAGGCGCCAGAAAGCGTGAACGAATGCTAGTTCCTCAAGAAGCTACCTGCATAAACTGCAGAACTGCTGCTTTTCCACCAGTAGCTGTGGTCATCGCTATCCCAATCTCTCACCTGGAGGACATCGCCAACATGATTGGTCAGTACATGCAGAAGCACGGTGTGAACTTCGCGCGGGTGGATGCCTGAGAGTATGAATGAGATCTAGTAGTGTTTGCACTGATTGATGGTGGGAGGATGTCTTTGTGAAGCGACCCTGTTTGTCTGATTGTCCGTACTCCATCCGCATCCCCCCCAACATCCAAAAGTTTGCATGTGTTTGGGATTGTTGCGACAGAGAATGACGTAGACTTGCTTCGGTGGAGATGGTTCCGGACAACAAAAAAACCTCAGTGACACAGAGTCCGCAAACAGGACGAAGCGGCCCTGAGCCCGGAAAGACCCTATGTAACCCCGCAGGAGTACGCAGCCAAGTTGGGTCTTAAAAGCGGGTGCTGTTCCCTGAAGTTGCCAGCCAATTTACTCAGAAGGGAGGGCCTGCCCGCATCTACTCACCCGCGCAGCATGCTCCAAGAATGCCAAACTTGGCAGGAGATGGTCCCATCCAAATTCGAGAAAACAGCGGATGGGAAGGCTGGTGTGTAGGCGAAGTAGGCCTTAGGGCTTTTGGTGGGTCTCAACTGGTGGAGGTCAAGGTTTTCGTGAAGGACGCGGAGTACGGGGCTGCGAGCTCGGAGTGGCGGAGTGCCGGAGATCTCGAGTGCAGCAGTGTCTTTTCGTCAGACACGTTCGACAGAAGCATCTGGTCTGGAGATGCTTCATGAACGTATGCTAGGGCCAAACTTTTCCGACCTCCCCAAACAGGAAGCCTCAGCAAGACTTCCGCTAGGCAGTTCATTCTGAGGTTTTCGACACTGTGCTGGTTGCCATCGGCCGGGCCGGCTGTGCCAGCCAGCTCAATGTGGAGGCGCGTGCCGTTTGAGTGGCTGCGGTTTTGCATTCTCTTTTGTGGTGGTGTGCCTGTGCGTGCGCGAGTGAGTGAGTGAGTGAGTGAGTGTGTGGGTTTCTGTGGGTTCATGAATGTGTGCAGCAGCGCAAAGCTCGGACGAAAAAAGCTGCAGCTTGCAGACGCACCGAGAAGTTTCTTCTGCGAACTGCGTTTAGGAGTGCATGTGATCCAGCAATGGAGGCAGCGGGCCTGTCCTACAACCCCAAGACGGGCAAAGTCGTTGGAGACTTGACATCCACGACGTGCAGAATCGATGTGTGCTCGATGCAAGCCCACACTCTTTGCAAGCAAGCACTTCCAAAAAGTCTAGTTGCAAACCCACAGCTCTCGTTGGGACAGAAAGCAGATGTCCTGAGGTTGTCGACGACAATGACCAGACCAGTGTGCCCAACATTTTCGCCATCGGAGATGTGCTTCGCCTGAGCAACCATGGCAATTGACAACAGGAGCTCCTGTGGGGCAGGGCGGGAAGAAGTTCTGCGGCTCCTTGCAGCCGAGGTGTGCGAGGGGAAGCCCGAGCTGACCCCGGTGGCCATCCAGGCCTGATGTTGTTCTGTCGAAGCGGCATTTTGGGGATTGGGGGGTCAGGTTGAGGCTGATTGCAAAGCAGCAACAGCAGGCCAAGCCCAGCCCAGAAGATGCAGGCCAAGAAGAGCGTAGCTAAGCCAAGCCAGAAGCTGAGGGTGACGGATCTTCAGGGCCTGCATTGAGCCTTGACAGGGTCTCGTGCTGGGGAGTAGGGTTGTTGTAAGCCGCATGTAGAGTACTTCCACATCTGAACCAAAGAGCTTTCACTGTAAAGACCCCACGTTCTTCCGGGCATTATGGAGTATATCGTAGGAACGGTTGTTCAAGTGTACTGTACCCGGCCCAGCAAATTACATTCTTCATTCTGGGGTGGAATGAAGGCCGGTCGCATGTTGACGCGCCGCCTCTTCGCTGGGTCCACGAAGCCAGGGTGGCCCAGACTTCTTCGCGGGTCGTTGTGGGGCCTTTAGTGCCGTTTCAGAAAGTGAAGCATAAGGAAGATGGACTATACAGACATTGCCACCACAGTCTTCACTCCCATCGAGTACGGCTGCGTGGTCTCCTCAGGGTCGCCTTGCGCAGGGCCATACCACCGCTGCCGTACTTTCTTCCAGAAATTGGCTGGCAGAAAAGGTGGGCTACTCTGAGGACGAAGCGAGGGAAAAGATTTCCAAGGAGCGCATCAAGGCATCTACATGATGCAGAAGCGAGTGAAAGCAGGTGTCGGTGAGTGCAAAAGGCAGCTATGGTTCGTGCGCGTGCATGGCATGTCCATCCATCCATCCATCCATCCATCCATCCATCCATCCATCCATCCACCCAGCCAGCCAGCCAGCCAGCCAGCCAGCCAGCCAGTTCCTTCCTTCCTTCCTTCCTTCCCTCCCGCCTGCCATCCTTCCATCCATCCATCTATCCATCCATCAGCCCATCCACCCCTTGTTTCTTCGTCGTCATCATCATCATCAGCATCATCAGCAGCATCATCACCATCATCAGCATCACCATCATCATCATCATCATGATCATCACCACCATCAACATCGCCACCATCATCATCATCATCAGCATAATAATAATAACAACATAATAGTAATGATAATAATAATGATAGTAGTAGTAGTAGTAGTAGTAGTAGTAGTAGTAGTAGCAATAATAGTAGAAATAGTAGTAATAATAATAAGACTAAGACTAAGACTAAGAAGAATCGTAATAATAATAACAAGAATAATATAATAGACACCAGCATTATCAGCACCATGATGATCATGATCATGATCATCATCATCATCATCACCATTATCACCACCATCACCGTCATCGTCATCATCATCATCATCATCATCAGCATCATCATTTTCATCACCATCGTCATCATCATCATCGTCATCATCATCATCATCATCATCATTTTCATTACCATCGCCATCATCATCACCACCATCACCGTCATCATCAGCATCATCAGCATAATTATCATCATCATCATCATCATCGTCATCATCAGCATCATCGCCGTCAACATCGTAGTTACAATCCGTCGACTGTTTGACATGCTCGCTCTGTGTACACGAACACTGCTGCCTCGTGATCCGAAAGCAACTGGCAAGGGAAACAGAGCTGAGTATTGGCTGTCGATGGTTGTCGCTGTAGCACAGCAAAAGGCAGCATGCAACTTTGTATCTGCAAAATCCTTGGATCCACCTACGCTTGGTGCCTGCAAGGTCTACCACTGCACCGCCCAACCTTTGGAGTGGAACCTCAACTCCGAGCGTAAGGCTCCAGCACCCGGGAGTGCTAGTGGGAGTCGTCCACGATGCGGTCGGAGCTTCTGCATCTTTGGTGCGCCGGGTAAATCCTGAGCATCAGCTACGGGTTCCGGGCTCGCAGAATCTGGGTGCGGGCTTTGCTCATGCATGTGTGCACCGTGTCACATCAGACCTGCAACATCTGCCACGAGCAACTGGGTGTTTGCGAGCAGCTTGGTTCCGCAGGACGACATGGGATACATGAAGCTGATCGTGGACAAAGAAGAGAAGGAGAAGGTTGGGACTATGTAGGGTTTAGGGTTTAGGGTTTAGGGTGACTCTTCTCCTGCCACTGCACCACGGCTGCCGGACCTGCTGCCAGAACAATAGCTCCAAAGCTGGGCCAACTCCACGACAGTTTTTTTTGATCACGCTGTCCAATCTTTGAATTTGAAGGGAAATGGGTCAGCGTTCTTAAAAGCTGAAACAATTTGAAGCTATCGGCTGTAGGGTCCCCTATCTATACCACGTCCACCTGTGTCTCTAACGACGAAATCCCGGAGCTTCGTGCGGAGGTGGTTGGTGTACACATCCTCGGCCCCAACGCCGGGGAGATCATCCAAGGCGGGTAAGGAAGCTTGCAATTCCTCTTGTCGGGATGTAGGCGCGGTGGCCCCTGACAAAGCCTCGCAGCGCTGAGCCATGTGGAGATGTGGAGACGGTTCAGCTTCATGTATGAAACGCGCAGCACGCGTTGCGATATCACATAGCATCTAAGCAATTTCTAGGCCCTGAATGCGACACCGTCACACCTGGCAGATGTGCGCTCTTGGCCCTCGCTTGGGGCCTTGACTTTAGGGTGTCGTCGCTTAGGATTGAGATTAAGTTCTCAACCCTAAACGTTAGACATCGTCGTGCGCAGGTCCTTTTCTGTAGCCGCAGCTTGGTCTGACCCGGAAACCAGACGGCCAGACATACCCCCTAGAACGTCAAATCTGAGACAGGTCAGCCCTAAACTGTAAACAGGGGCTTATTTAGTTGCCTACCTTCCCCCCTTAGAAGTCGGCAGCCACATCCACCCACCATGCAGCAAAAGATCGCGCCTGCATGGGGTTGTGTAACAGTGTCTGACAGTTTCATGCGGATATCTGACATGGAAAAGTATTTGGAGCACCAACCACAACTTTCTGCGGACCCCTGATCAGGCCTGAGCGTGGCCATCCGCTGCGGTGTCACGAAGGAGAGCTTGGGGATTGAGCTTGCAGCGCTTAGTGTTGAGCCCGAAATGGGCACTTATGCAGGCGACAGTGGACACAAAGTGGGTTTCGGATTGCGGGTGTGGGTGCGCTGGGATTCGAAATCTACAAATTCTCTCTCTGTGACCCTTGGTCCAGCAGTAACCCTTAGAATAACCCAAATCATGTCGTGCTTGAAAGGAGCACTTCGATGACTGCGCACCTCGGCTGCAGACCGGATCTTGGCCGGCTGCTCTCGGCAGCTTCAGCGGGCTGTCTTACGGGATACAAGCAGTGACTGTTGGGGTTTAGCATTTTTGGGTCTAGGCGTGTTTAGGGTATTTAGGGGCACGCGGTTTGCTAAGGTGGGAATCCACCCAACCTTTGCCGAGCCTCTGCCTCAAAGACTCGACGAATACTGTAACGTTCATGCACGCGATGAATGTTTGTGCGAAGAGGTCGTACACCACGATGACTGAAGAGAAGACGGAAGGTTCAGCCCTTCCTACCAAGGGAGGCGCCCACCGCTCTCGCAGAGAATCCTTCGCTCCGTTGTCGCTTGAACGCAACTGCAGGCTGCTGAAACTAAAGGTGCCCGCCTGGGAATCCCGGGCGGGGCTGGGTGCTGCTTCGGCAGGGCCCTAAGGCACGGCCAAGGGTAAAGCAACAATGATTCAGGACGTGGAAGAGCGGCAGTTGATTTTGTGTTCGCACTGCCATCAGGCGCGCGCTGATGAGCCTTGGTGACGAGTTCCTTGATTTCTTGCCCCTTTATTGGGGCACGAAAGTGGATCTCTGAGTTCGCTCATCGTTGAAGCATGCTGCCGTGCATCTCAACTGTGGCCGCTGTGGTTGCTTCACGACTTCACGAAATGGCTTTGACCTTTGGACCTCTATGACCTTGACCGCATGCTGAAATGACAGCTGCGACCTGTTGTTTTGCAGCTTTGCGAAGGCTAAGACGAAGACTATTGTAAGAGCCAGAACGGCCTCAGTTTGCTTCGTAGTTGTAGGCTCATGCAACTCCAGGGAGACCCAGGTCAAGCTTTGCTGGCGCATGGGGGTGCTGCAGAAGAATCATCGCTTCAACCGTCAACAGAAGCTTGCTTAATGCTGTACCTGCATCCTCCCATGGGACACCTGTTTATTCCTGTGTAGGGGCCGGGTCTCCCTGGTCCTATGTGAGGTAGGACAGTAGGCATGAGATCAACACACAGCTACCAGCCGAGTTTCGCCCCTTCTAAGCAGTTCAAGCTGTCCTCTCCTAAACCGTGAGGCATGTCCTGCACCGTGACGCATGTAGTCTATCACGTGGGAGATATGGATTCGCGAAGATCTTCCGCCTTCGAGCTGTGCAAGTAGCAACAAGAGGCTTACGCCGGTGGTTTGGCAAGGCTTGTCAAAAGCCAGCAATCCGTCTCGACATTCTTCATCATTGTGCTAAATGCAAGCCGTAGACAAAATCTTTGAGGGCTAGAATCTAGAACCGAAGACCTTTGCCAAGAAGGGGTGCGCGAGTCGTGAGGCTGACAGGGATTCGTCCGACAACAGACTAGACCCAGCGCGGGCCGGAAAAAGTGGGTGTTCCGCCCGATAGCTGGATGTGCCCCATCTGCGGGGGCTCCATGCCCCATACAACCTTGGTGGGAGTGCGATGTGAGTGCGAGAAATCCAAGAGTATCAGTCCTGTGAGATTGTTGAATTAGCACATCGAATCTAGAAGACGAAGTTCTGGCTTGCAGTTGAGTTCGGTTGGGAAAATCTTTTATCTTTTTGTATTGGGAAGTTCTCTCACAATTCCACTAATTCAAACAATTCAAGTCCATATTCCGTATTTGTCTGCAGCAGTGTCTGGCGCTATCACCCGGTCAGCAAGAAACCTCGCAGTTTCGAGCTGTTAAACATAAGTTAACATAAGGGGAAAAGATCATTCCGCGAGCTCACAGCGGTTTCCCCCCAGTTTTCCGGATTCCAAACCATGTTTGACATGGCAGGTTTTAACCATTGTTCACCGCTCGCTCAAACAGCTGGAAGCCTGCCCTGCTGTCTTGAAGCGTAGCACCTGAAAAATTAAAAATGCAGTGATGGGCCGCGTTTTGCTCCAATTGAGAAGCATGGTAGCAATGCGAAGAGGCGGCTGCCGGCTGTAACCAACAGCCTGTAGCTGTCCTCACGGACAAGGGCCATGCAAGCCAAAGTGTTGCAACGCAGTGGCTCCATGGTGGCTAGCCGGCCAAAAATCGACTGGCATGGAGCTAAGCGTCGAGCCGACAGTGAAGCAGAATACCACGGAATGCTCCGCAATGCTTGAGGCCGAGGCCGGAACAGAAGCACGAGGTTGGATCAGCCTTGTCCTCATTATTCAGTTCGCGCACTGCTTTGCAAAAGCAGGTCGATGCGAAGGCGGATCTTCGTGGAGTGTCGGGAGCCCAGTGGCAACAGCCGATCCAGCTCGAGCCAGGGCTTCTGTACCTTTTCAATGTTGCAGGCATTGGCAGCTGAGTTACATGGCCACTTCCCCGGAGCAGTCTCAGACCAAACAGGCATACATCAAACATCCGTCGCCGCTTGACAGCACCTGAGCTTTCTGTTCTTACAAGGCGCATGGCGAGCATGTTGTGGCGGAAATATGTCTTCCTTGGATGAACTCTGTCGGGCTGCAGCTTCAGATTCGAGATCCGGCACCATGGGCCGCGCAACTTTCACCGACTGGATCCGTTCCCGGAGTATGCTCCATCTCTCGGGATGCACGTCATAGTCATAGTTGAAACTACCTCCGTGCGTGGCTGTGCCTACTGGGGCTTTCAGGCAAGTGTGGAATGCCGCGAGGCCCTCTTGCAACGTTCACGCGACTTCCTTGCTGGATGCGGGGACACTCTGCTCGGCGCCACGCGCGCAGCTGCGGCCGCAGCACGTGCTGGCTCCGCAGCCGACGTCACCGATGATGAGGCCATTCGCGAGCGGCGGCGAGCACTCGCGAGCGCCAACGTGCGGCGGGGAGAAGTCTCAGGCACTCGCGCTACCCTAATTTAACCTCTGCGGCGATCGCCCCAGAGACAGACGAAACCTTTGCTGCCTTGTCCGATCCGGAGCGGCGCCCGCCGGTGCCCTTGCACGACTTGCCTGCTGCCCTCCACCGGCAGTGCTCAACGACGTCGCCGTCGCTCAAGCTCTGCGGACTGCCAGGCGCGGCACCGCTGCTGGGCTGTCGGGAGCCACGTGTGAACACTACAAGCTGTTGCTCGACGATGCGGAGGCTTTCGAGCTGTTTACGCGCGCTGCCAACCTCCTCGTTGCTGCGCGCGTCCCCGCCAACGTCGCAGCCGTCCTGGGCCTGTCCCGCTTCACCGCGCTTCGCAAGCCCGGCGGAGGCGTCCGCGGCATCGCTGCGGGTGACACTTTCCGTCGTCTTGTGTCGCGCAGCTTTGCCCGTATGTTCGCCGACACTTTCGACGAGGCGACTCGGCCGTACCGGTTTGCGCTACAGACAAGGGCTGGCACGGACGCACTTTCAGGCATGCTTCGCGCCGCTGTCGGTCTCGACGCTGCGGCGACCATCGTGTCACTGGACGGCCGCAGCGCCCATGGCCACTACGTTTCTGCGCAAGCTGCACGCCGTCGCCTCGGCACTCATACCGTTCGTGCGCCTCTGGTATGGACAGCAGTCCACATACTTCTGGTGGCGTACCATCCATGAGGGCGAAGGGTGCGAACAAGCCCTGGCACCGGTGCTGTATTATACGCTTTGGGCCAGCACGACGCCCTCGTTGCTGCAGACGAGCAGCTGCGCCCCGGCGAGTGTCTCGCGGGTTTCCTCGACGACGTCTACTTAGTCATCAAACCAACAGGGGCGAGGCGCTTGATGTCGTAACTTCCTCCATCGAGACCCGCGAACCTCGGCAAATCGCGGGTGTACAACCGTGATGGAGGGCCTGCAGCCCCTCCTGGCATCGCCGAGCTCGGGGCCAACGTCTGGCCGGGCCGCACGCAGCCGCGTGGCTCAGCGCCATCCCGAAGGTTGGCTCCCCTCTGTCGCTCCACGGCATGCTCGTAGCCTTGCGGCGGCGGCTGCTGTTGCCTTATGTTGCCTTCTTGCTTGTCGCTCCACACAGATGTGGCGCACCGGGCATGGTTGCGACGCTGCTGTCGACGACTAGCATGCCCTCGAACCGGATGGCTCGCCCGCCGAGCCAAGCCCCTGGAGCATGCATGGGCGAATCGCGCGTGAGGCTGTCGGACCCGAGGGCCAGGTGAGGACGTGCTGCACGACGCAGCTCCTCCCGCCCCCAGCCTTTTGGGCCCGTAGTGCGCAGGTTGCACGGGGAGTTGGACTTTTCGGTTTTGCGGACATGGATGCGGTGCGTGAAGAGAAAGAGCAGCAGTGGAAGCAAACCTTCTTCGGCAGCACGGCAGCACGTTGGGCTCCTGAGACTTTCGCTGCGGAGCTTTGCGTGACAGCGCTGGTAACGGCCGGGTTGTCATCACTTCGCCTGTGAGCCGTGCCCGGCTTTTTGGGGCCGGCTGTGCATGCTCACCGCGCCGCACGGCTCCTCACCAGGCAGCCCCCCCCCCCCCTTTGCCGAACCACCCGCCAACGCCGGACACGCACGAGAACACCTGCCCGTGTTGCCTTCACCCTCTACGGCTGTGTGGTGCAGGCCGCCCGCTTGCATGGAATGTGCCCCAAATGCTGTGCCGCTATACACCACGCCTGCTCAAGTACGCGCTGTTTGCCGTCGGCGCTTGGCTGGGCCCGCTACGGGGTAGGTCGAGCTGTTTGGCAGCTTTTCCACGAAAAATGAGCAGATGAAACGTATGCCCTTGCCCTGCGTCAGCTCGTAGGCCGCAGTTCTGCTGCACTGGGACCGCGGATGCTGCTCGAAAAGCTGCCCGCGCAAAAAAAATTGAAGAAGTCTCTCATCCGGTTTTCAAGCACCACTATATATAAGTCGAATACATGTCGATAGTTTATGCTATGGGTTGTGACGGCTCCCATTGAGGGTTTACTGGGTTTCGAAGCATGCGCCATGGCTTCGCAATGCCATTTCAGACATGATCCAGAATGTTTTTGCGAAGCGGTGTGTTTTTTATTTTCATTGTTCGAGCTGAAGGGGGACCTGGCCGCACTGAATCCAGAAGATATGGTCTCCGCATGCCGCCACATATGATAGATCACTGATAGATCAGAGGCATGGGTTTTACATCGGTGTGCACCGTTTTTCATTTAACCGCAAGCATTAAATGGCATTGTTGATGGAACTTGTGAGGCAACATGTATGTAAGCTTTATGCACATCAACCCGACAGCCTGGGCGAACCAAGCTTTCAAGTGCGGAGTACGCGTCAGTGGGGGCCGAAAGGTCAAGTCGTGCCGCAACAATGGCTCGCTCGCACGACCGCCCCGGACGTCCCCTCGGACGACCGTAGGCACCTCGACCTCGTGGTCTATGGCGCCACTGCCCACGGAGGCGCGCTTTGCTGCGATGCAACCCTGATGTCAACCCTTACACGGACAGGTCACCCGCCGCCCTGCACCGACGAGGTTGTTGGGGCGGTAGCGCCGCAAAAGGTCCACGTATCCCGA